TTTTTATCTTTTGAAGTAAAAAGTTTATTTTTTGGAGTTTTTTCTTAATACTAAGCACAAAAACCAAACTATATAATTTGTTCAAAAAATAAAAATAATCCCAAGACTATATTATATAAATAACCACTGGTTTAATTTAAGTATAATTAGTAGATTTCCATATTCCATATTTTGATGATATATATATTCTTTTAGAACATTCTATATTTGTTGGAGAAAAAATATGTATTTACGGTATACACATAGATATCTGCCGTATTTTGAATGTAGTTTACATTAAGGTCGTCTTTTTACATTAATTGTGTTGGTTTAATTTAATTAATACGGTCCAATCAATTATATGACTTATATTATTTGAAACATTTTAGAAAGGGTCCAAATTTAAATGACAACTTATATCAGTAGATAAACTAGGTGTTCTCCTGCACTATGTGCAGTAAAAAGATTTAAAATATTTTTTTAACAGATACAATATAAATTACATTTAAAATTAAAATTTTATTAATATTATAAATTTTCTTTTTCTTATCACTATTTTAATACTTTTTTTTTAATTAAACATAAAAATTAATGGAAATTGTTTTTTGTTTATTTTAAACTATATTTATGAATATGCATGTATATATTTAAAATTATAACTATCAAAAATTAAAATTAGACAATATTTATTAAATTAGTAAATATATAAGAAATTAATAATTTTATGATTAAATTTTAATAATTTTCAAAAAAGGTATACATTTTTGAAAAGGTTGTAATAAAATTGTTTAATTTTAAAATATATAATTAAATGATATTTTCGAAATTTATAATGCCATATTTGAATATATTTATTTTAATGATGATTTATGAGTTATTACCATATTTTGAAAATATTTCCAAAAATATAAATCGACATCAAATCTAATATATGAGTTGTTACCATATTTTATAAAGTTTTCCAAATTATGGTTAAAATTAAAATTTATTAATATTATAAATTTTCTTTTTGTTATCACTATTTTAATACAATTGTTTTTTAAATTAAACATAAAAAGGATAGAAAAATATTATTTGTTTATTTAAATTATATTTAAGAATATGCATGTATATATTTAAAATTATAATCTTAGATAGATTTTTTTATCTATTTATTTTAATTAAATATATTAAATAAATCTGTAGAAAATTTTATAATTGTCAAAAATTAAAATTAGACCATATTTATTAAATTTATAAATATATAAGAAATTAATAATTTTACGATTAAATTTTAATAATTTTAAAAAAGGTATACATTTTTGAAAATTTTGTAAAAATTTGTATAATTTTAAAATATATAATTAAATGATTATATATTTATAATGCCATATTTGAATATATTTATTTTAATGATGATTTATGAGTTATTACCATATTTTAAAAAGAGTTCCAAAAATATAAATCGACATCATATCAAATATATGAGTTGTTACCATATTTTATAAAGTTTTCCAAAAATATATATTAACATTAAATGCAATTGTCCATGTCATATTTAATCATATGCCATATCATTAATTTTAGTAGATATGTCATTATTTTTTTGTGAAACTGATTGTAGAGATGACATGTGGCAAAATCATTTCGCAAATAATATATAGGGGATAGAGTAGATTCTGAAAGGTCGTGTAATAGATAGATCATCTCCTCGTCCGCCTCTCTCAAAGTTGCAGGAAACCCTAAAACCTATCAAAAAAAAAAAAAAATCGTTGCGGCATTCGATATGGAAGGAGGTCGGGATTCTCATCAATTATTTCTTATTATTTCCACCGTTGTACGTAGTTTCTGATTCGATATTGGTTTGGTTGATCAGGCGATGCGTTAGCGTTACAAAAGCAAAAGAAGACGGCAGTGTGGTGGGACTTGAACACGTGTCCGGTTCCGGCAGGGGTTGAGGCTGGTCGTGTTGTTGCGTGTATTGAATCTGCGTTGGAGAAGGAGATGGGTCATGGTTGTGATGTCTACATCTATGCCATCGGCAACCTAGAATACATCTCTAGTGACCTCTTGGAAC